CGTTTGAAATGCACACAAGTCGACTCAGTTTTTGACACTGATTCAGAATATCATATTGATTTTGATCAAATTATACTTTTTCCAATCGAAATCTATCAGATATCACTCACAAAGTACACAAATTCATTCCAGTGAATAATGTTCTTCGGTCTTTTTTGACTCTTTATGCAACTTATTTCTCCAAATTTTTCTAACAGTTCTCTAAACCGCAAAATTCTGTGCAAGATGCACTACATAAAAGTTCCCCAACAAATAATTGGATAATGTAGAATGAGTTTTGTTCAGTTTAATGTGATCTTTCGAACGAGACGTAAACGAAACAATGGAGCTAGCCTTTTTTTCAGTTTTCTAGAGGCCTCTCTTATGTCTCAATGCCTGTAGTTCCGTCAAATTACATCATAAGAGCCTAAAAAGTGTTTCATAATCTCAGTTTCATTTGAGGAATCAAGTGATATAAAAACCATAGTATATGTTAATTCCGAGTATTAAATGAACTTATTGCTGAATGTTCGACAGACTGGCGAAGTCACTCTTATGAAAGTTTTTCGTTAATATATTATAAGAATTGTTTAATAAAATGTTCAATGATATCAGACTTTATTCTTTTGTGTTTTTCATTGAATACATCTAATAAAAACACATGTAGTCACTTGTTTTTTTCTTTTCTTTTCATTGTTAATTGTCTTTTTTCGTCACTTGTTTTTCAGTAAACCATCTGTTTAATAATGACATCAATATTTTACATGTGTAAATCCATGTGTATCGAACGCTTTTTTTTATGATTTTGTTGTGCTGATTAGGCGTATAGTGGACAAAAAAAGAAGTTTAATCAAAAACATTTGCGAGTTCTACTTCAAATACTGGGGATTCGGATCATTATCTAGGAAGATTTAAAGAGGAGAATGATCAACCAGATCATTAATTATTTTAAAGCTCATAGTTAATTTAGATGTAGGTGGACACTGGACTAGACAAACCTAGGGTGTGGGCGTAGACCTTTTACTGAATACAACGACACCCACATCCACACATAGGGGTGACGGCTTAGCATTAGTATTAGGAAAATGCTAATACTCTCTATTATAATTAAAAAATTAATTTAATCCTTTGGTATTAGAGTTAAAAAAATAATTTAATACTTTGGCATCGGCCTTAAATTAAAATTAGTATTAAATTAGTATTATTTAATGCTGATACCTAAGAAAAAAGTGTTAACTATAATACTAATTTAATGCTAATTTTAATTCAATGCTAATGCCAAAGTATTAAATTATTTTTTTAACTCTAATACCAGAGCATTTAATAAATGTTTTAATTCTAATGCAAAGTATTACCATTTTCCTAATACTAATACTAAGGCGGCACACCTACCCACACCATCGTTTACTTTTAGACGACTAGAGGAACTCTTTATGTTCACAAAAATAAAATATCTATCATTATTGACTTTGATTTAACGTATTCGTTGGTTGTCGATTGATATATTCGGATGTAATTATAAGAATAAAAATATGAGTAGAGCTCACTATTTTGAGAAAACAAAAGAATTTCCAACGTCGTTAAGTATGTATATATATATATATATTAAGCAGACGAGCTGTACCAATAAGAGTGTATGTTAACATTTTTCTTGTCGCATTTTATAACTAAAGATCGAATTTATGTGTGAGAGTCGATGTAAATGTGAGTCTGTATATGTGTATTGGTATTGGTATTGGTATTGGTATCACATGAAAAGTTCAGATACAGATATTCTATGACTCGTATTTTCATCTATTCAACCAATAAAAGTAGTATCGATATTCCACATTGTAATAGATATTGCTCATATACAAATACAGGATTGTTTCATATATATATCATGGATATTGGCTAATTGTACTTCTTAAGGATCAAGTGAAATGAATATAAAGAAATATATATGATAAATTAGAAAGAATGAATAATCTCACAAGGTTACGTAGCAACAATAGCTGTATTGTGTTTTACATTTAAAAATGTCAAAATGATTATTCGAAAAAATTTTATTCTAAAAATAATCTTGACATGAGCATTGTCCATTAGGGCGAAAATGATGAATACGATTGGCATCGCGGACAATAATGTGACATTGATGAATAGCAGCAATTAATTTTGTTGCTCAGTCTATAAAAAAAACAATAAGATGACAGAAGCAAAAAAAAGTAAATTTATCACATACGACAATCACTACAAATGTGAAAATTTTTTGTCAGTTGAATTCGTTTGGGCTTTTGGTTGTCGATAAAATGAACTGGTATAGCCAATCGTTCGCTATTTTTTTTAATGTTTTATTTTGGTGAGTACCACATGAGTGGTTTACACCTGCTATGAGTAAACATCGCTCCTGTAGCGTAAAAAAAACCAAATAGTTGAGAAGAAAAACAAAGATCGAGTACACTAGACACAAGGCGAGAAAAAAAAAGAGAAAGACACTATAAGGGTTTAGGAGAAAAAGAATAAGGAGATACAACACATGTTTAACCAGGAGAATCTCAAGACTTATAAACATACTACATGGTCAAATAGAGATAGTATTCCATCATTTAGTAGGCTTTTGATGTTGTTACGTGTTCTTCCTCTACCAAATATTGATTTTCTTTCTTTTGCGAGTGAAGGATTTGTGAAATATTCTTGTAAGTAAACGATTGATAGTTTGTGTTGTAAGAAGTCTTCTAGAACACGAGGATTTGTTCTGAGTATTGCTGATGTCAGTTTATCCCAATGAGTATCTGCAAGTGCCTTAAACGATTTATATTTTGGTAGACTCTCAATTTCGATGTTTGTTGCATCAGACCACTGATGGATTTTACGAAAAATTTGACGATTCATTGCTTCGAGTTGTTTTTGTTTATTTGCGGTCAAAATCGGATAAATGTTAAAAAGCGACTGGTAGTACGGTCTAATGTAAGCATTGAAAAGTCTATAGTTGACTTTCTCACTCGTCATTCGACTAGATGTCAGTCGTTTGAGCACATTCACATTCTTACGTATTTTATCTTTGATATAGTTGATGTGTGTCGTAAAGGACAATTTCGCATCGAGATGAGTACCTAAATATTTAACCTTTTTCAGGTGCTCGATTGTGTATCCATTACATGTTATAGACGGGATTCGAGGGGATACTTGACGATGAAATAAAGTCCAGTACGTCTTCTTTAAGTTGATTTCTTGTTTCCATGTGGTCGAGTATTTTATCAGTCGATTAAGTACATCCGTAATTTGTTCCGCTAATAAGTTAATCATTCCCGACGAAGAAAGCAGAGACGACGGTGAGAATACAATCGATAGATCATCTGCGAAAAGATGCCGCCAGTGAATAATCGTCAATGAGTCAAGTATATCGTAATGATACAAAATAAAAAGTACCGGACCTATGCAACTTCCCTGAGGAACACCTTTGAACAGGAAAAATTCGGGTGATCGTACACCTTTTATTTCGACATATGCGGATCTTCCTGATAAATATTTACGGAGCCAAGCAATTATGTGAGATGGACATTCGAGGCGTCTTAGTTTGATCCAAAGTCCGAAGTACCATAGTTGGTTAAAAGCTGACTTGAAATCTACGAATAAAGCTGCCGCCGCCGTATTTTTTGATAGGCTTTGACCTATTTGATCGATCATTGAGACAAGACGAACGGCCATGTTATGTCCTGGACGAAACCCGCTCTGTTCTTCGGGCAAAATTCCTTGATCGTCCACCCACTTTCTTAAGTGGACTAGGAAACATTTTTCGTAGATTTTTGAGAAACACGGTAGTAATGAAATGGGTCTTGTTTCATCAAGTGTTACGATTCCGGACTTGGTCTTCGTGAGTAAAATCATTTTGGCTATATGCCAGTGAGCAGGAGTTTGGTAAGAAGATGCGAACGTGTTAAACGAGGACAAAATTATTTGAAGATGTCCACTAGGAAGTAGTTTCAATATGTGATTCGACACACCGTCGATACCGGCTGAGTTTTTATTTTTCAAAGACGAAATCGCTTTGCGAATATGATGAAACGTGATACGCGGTGACTGTGGGCGATTGTTGTTCAATTCATCTCTTATTTCCTCGTCGACAACTGCGGCTTCAATTTCAATTGACGTTTCTGTGTTCTGATGCTTTGAGAATTGTTCTTCGTAGAAATCACGAGCTGCAGTACACATTTCCATTGGCAAAGAGACGATGTTATTATTTATGATAAAACCTTCAATCGGCGGGGTACAGATGCTAAAATGTCGTTTCGCTTTTTTCCAAAATGAACGAGTGTCAAGTTCGTTTAAGGATTGACAATAGTTTTGCCAAGATTGCCTTTTATATAAAAATAATTCTTTTCGAATAGTATTACCGAGTGTACGAAGTACGATAGCGAAGTACGGATGACGAAATTTTCGAAATAATTTTAGGCAATATCGTTTTTGTTCAATTAATTCAATGAGGTATGATGGGAGTGATGGTTTATATGATTTCGAAAAGAAAACGAACGTGAGACGTGCAGCAATAAGTGATAGAAAACGTTCATATAGACAAAAAAATTCGATCGAGTTCGTCATAGAAGTTCCTAGTGTGATCCAATACGATGTAGTAAACGTAAGGAAACGATTTAAAAGCGACCAATAGGTGCGTTTCACCGGATGACGGACATGTGAAGAAGACATTTTGAAACTGGGATACCATATGACAGGATAATGATCACTACCAATGGATGGAAGAACAGCGAAAGACGTTGATAACATGTGAGATGGAACAAGAATCAGATCTATAGTTGCATTTGAACGAGTAGAGGTAGAAATGAATTTATTTACTATTTCAAGTGAAAAGTTACAAGAAGATGAATATAACCACGAATAAAGAGAACGACCTTTGTGGTTTTCGACAGATTTTGACCACGATGCATGCTTCGCATTTAAGTCTCCCATAATAATCGTGTTAGAATTACATTGGAATACTTCATCAAATATAAGGAGAGGTAACGGTTCGCAAGGAGGAGAATAACACGCAACAAGTTGAAAGGCTTCATCATTTACTCCTATTTCAAGGACAATTAGGTTTACAATATTAGAAAAACGAGATACACGTTTCACAGGGATTGATTTGTGTACCGCTACGAGAACTCCTCCAAAAGCATTTGACCCTTTTGTTGAAAAAACATTAAGATTAGAGAAATGAGAAGAGAAAAGTTTAATGGTACTGTCTTCGTGATGAGTACCCGTTAAAACAACTATAGGAGAAGAAACAGAATCTATTAACTTAAACACATCTAAGAGGTACATATTTAAACTAGACACATTTAGAAGAAGAAAAGAAATCTCATTTTTTACATTTAGCATAGTGATTGTTTTTTCTCGATGCTTGTTCCATTTTTCGAGTAGAGAATCTAGTGTTGGTGTCGTTGTCCATTCTTGCATTAGTTCTTGAAAGATTTTTAACTCACTTTTAGATAGATCATCAGCAGGAATGAGAAGCGTTTCATTTTGATGTGGTACAAAAGAATTAGCAGTTGAGTTCATTTAATGCTGTATTACTAGCAGTATTTGATTGAGCCACAACGACTATCGTTTTATTATGATCTTCGAGTTTCTCTTTGAAACTTGTATGTAACGTACGTAATCGATCCTTTTCTGCTGTTTTACATTTGATAAAAAACGAATCACCAAGTTCACGTAGATATGGTGAAATTGTATCAAAAACGAAATCTCGAATTTGGTCAATTTCTTGACGACATGAATAGATGGTACAGTGTAACTTTTCAACAATTTTATTTGTTTTCAATTGTTTAATCGATATTTCATCGACCTTCGTCATAAGAATATCGAGCTTCATTGAGATATCGGCTATTGTTATCATGTTAGCTTTTTCGTTTGCATTTATCGTTTCCGTATTCGGCGAATATATGGATGTGAGATGTTCATACGATTTTTCGGTCCATACAGATGGTAAAGACTTTTGTTGTTGTTGTTGGAATTGTAGATGTGCATTCTTCAGTTTCAATTCTTCATTGCGTTTGTTTCTTTCTTCTATTTTATTTGGGCAACTGGGGTTGCCAGCCATATGTTCTTGGCGACAATGAGCACAGCAAATTTTGTTTTGACAATTGGAATTATACGGATGGTTGAGACCACATCTAAAGCAAATCGGTTTGTCTTTATTCGGACAGTTGATCGCTGTGTGATCGTTATACTGTTGACAGTTGTAGCAACGAAGAATTTTTGTCGGTGGTATGTATGGTTCGATTTTATACGAAGTATTTGCATCGTCGAGTAGAATTGATTTATTTTTTATGATTGACTTTAACTCTTCACTTGAAGAGAAATCAATACGTACTTTCGATATAGGTTTTCCACCTTTCACGTAGAAACGTTCAACTTTGACTATTGTAGAGTATTGTTTCTTAACGTCATTTTCTAATTCTTCGATGTTCCATTGAACCGGGACGTTCAACATGACAATCGAATAAGATGTAGGTATTTTGGATGGTAAATCAAGAACATAATTCAGATCACATATCATCGTAGGCCAAATACTTTTAGTCATGAGACGATCGTATTGATCCGCTGAGTTAGCATAAATTAGAAAACTATTTTTCTTACCGAACGACGAGTAACGACCGAATGAAAGACTAATGCGACATTGACGATTTATATCTTTGATGATCGACAACTCCGACGGCAATTTATTCTCATTGAACGAAAGACGAAATGGTGGAAAAGTAGATCGCGGTACGACTTCATTTGATATTTGTGGCGTACGTGGAATCGCATTTGCCGTTGTATTCCGATACGTGCTGTTGTTGAAGTACCGTGTAGTACTATTTTTCGCTCGCATTAGATAATCGGATGAATCACGATGCTCACATTCGAATGAGTCATCACTTTCTTTGATTCTTTTGTGTATATTTCGATTGTTTTGCTGGTTATTCTCGGATGTGTTATCTTCCAACATTGAGCTGCTGTTTTGCTCGATATTCATTGTAATATTTTGATAAGGATCTTTGTCCTTGGTACTCATCATTTAAAAAAGAAAAGAAAAACGATGAGTCACCACCACTTTGTGAACAAAGACAAGCGATGTAGACAGTGAAGTTATAGTATAGAACGCGTCTTATCGTGAGCACGACGAGGGAACGAATGATTAAAAACCGGATTTCAGTTGATGTAATGTTCAAAATTTATACTAACTCGATTATTTTTTGAAAAACGATACTTGAATGAATATAAGATTGTGCTATACTCTTGATAGATAAAATCGTGGTTTTCACACGTTCGTGAGGTCAGCATCGTATTCGAGTGAAACCTTTCTGTATTATTTTGAGCTATCGTTCCAACACTCATACTCATGTTCCTAGTAGAATTTCTTACCCTCTATCGAATGGTATACTTGGATTAACTTGACGTCGACGCGTTCTCCTGAATTTTCGAAAAAATCCCAAAAAATCCTAGAATTTGTTCTGTAAAATCAAATTTTTCATCTTGCTGAAAACGGTCCAGAAAATCTCAAAATACTGTTTTTTTCCTAAGAAATTCTAACACCATACTCGCCAGGGTCGCTGTTCTGAGTACTCCACTCATGATCGAAACACAACTTGAGTAGATATATTTAATGATTTCGGCAGATTTTTCATAGCTCAAAGTAGGATCTTCTGAGATTTCTTCAGTATTATCTTATCAGCGGTGAAGTCTAATTTCGAGCTGCGGAAAATATGTGAACATGACTGGATAGAGTTCATCGAGTTCAACTTGGAACATAGGTACAAGAGTTGGAATATTGCTTAAAATAAATATGGTCAGATTTTACTAATAGGATTCCACAGATTTAATGGGAGTTTTCGCTAGTTTTTGGATTCTCAGGAGAAATATTCAAGATCTAGCTAATCCAAATATACTATTCGATAGAGTACATGAATTTCTTCTAATATTGTGAGTATGGATGTTGGAATATCCGCGCAAAAGAGTATCCGCAGATTTTACTCGAATACGATGCTAACTTCACCTACGAGATGGTCACTTAATACTTCTCACTGAGATAGCTTGAGTAAACTTTAATCTAAAAAAGGCTACTATACTTTAAGCGAACAGCTAGTCATCGTAAACGACCGTTTACTGTGATATCCGACAGTCGTTTACAGTTAGCGTTTAGTTACGATGACCGTTTGCCGAGATTTTTCACGGTCGTCGTAAACGAGGACCGTATTTCATCGTAACACTTCGTTTACGACAACAGTAAACGACTACAAAATACCGTCGCCGTTTTTCACCGTGAGTGATAGGTATACGACCGTTTACGACTCTGGATGATCGACCTGGGTAATTTTCATTGTGAAAATTGGCAATCTTTATGCGCCTCCAAATGGTATTGTTACATCCCTAATGAGCAACAATGAAATCAAGTCGCCTTCCAAGGGCAATCATTCCGACCGTCTGAACGAGCATCTTAAAAGGTCTGAAACGGCTATGAAACCGTACAATAAGGCAATAATTATCACCGTAATTCGTCGTAATTCGTCAGCTCGTTTTAGGGACCGTTTTTTTGCTAGAAAGCGGCTACTGCTTTAACACTATATTCTTCGTTTTCTAAGCTGACGCAAAACGGCGCCGTTTTTCAACATTTTATGCCGTTTACGGCATTTTACGCACCATTTTCTTGGACATTGGCTATTTTAGTGGCGTAACCAGGATTTTTTAGTATCCTGAATCTCTGCTAGAGAGCATGGGTGCCAAATGAAAACCTATATACATTCATATGGGACTCAAATGATGAGTTTCTAGCGAAAAAAATTAGCATTTTCCTGAGCCCCGCCAGAAAATGTTGCACGACTTTAATGATATCTAGTTTTCAGAAATGCCATCGACAGATTTCAAATTTCATTTTAAAAAAAATCATCCTTTCAGAGGTTACGACGTTTTTAAGATTCGAGGCGTTTCGAAAAAGTTTCACGAGAGATGTAAAATCTCACAAAGTGTGAAGGGATGAATGTTTTTAAATGAAATTTAAAATCTGTCGATGAAATTTGATGTAGCTTTCGGTGGCATTCCTGAAAACGAGATATCATTAAAATCGTGAAATATTTTCTGGTGAGGCTCAGGAAAATGCTAATTTTTTTTGCAAACTCTGATTCAAAATTGTTTTCGCTAGAAACTCATCATTTGAGTCCAATATGAATGTATATAAGTTTTCATTTGAGACCCATGCTCTCTAGCAGAGATTTAGGATACTAAAAAATCCTGGTTACGCCACTAGGTTATTTGATTTTTTTTGATTTATCTACTCTTTATTTTCTATCGGAGTAACGCAGATTTCACTTACTATTCAGTATCTTAACCAATAATTACTTCTTTGGGTTTACTTTATCTTTGCAATATTGTGAAATATACGAACAAATTTTTCAATTGCAAATGCACAAGATTATTGATTGTAACAAATTGCTCGTGTCATTACTTTTAATCAGTCATAGATTTGTAATTTTCTTGCCGTGAAAATGTATCCATTGAATAGTAGTGAGAATGAAATAATCAGATTACAACCAACCAAGCGTATCTTGAGCGATAGAACCCATATCGTACAAACCGATCGAAAACCGTCGGTTAACCGCGGTCAATTTTTATAAAAATCGGTTAACCGCGGTTATTTAAGCCATTTTAGGGACTTTACAGCGTAAAAACCAACGGTATACCTCCCAGTCAACCAGAAAAATAACCGTCAGCTCGCGACATAACCGATGACTTGTCCGGTTAACCGTTGGTTTTTACGCTGTAAAGTCCCTAAAATGGCTTAAATAACCGCGGTTAACTGATTTTTATAAAAATTGACCGCGGTTAACCGACGGTTTTCGATCGGTTTGTGCGACATGGGAACTGTTTATTTAATTTTTCACACAAAAATCAAGGAAAAAACAATGTTCGAGTACAATTAAGTGAAGAAAAATCTATAATTGATCATTAACACCTGAATCATTTTTTTTCCTTTCCCAAAAAAGGGACTAGACCACATTTATGATGATCTGTTTAGAGAAAACGAAGTTCTTTGAAGAGTAATAAAAACCTTGTTATAGTAAATGTTTGTAATTTTACAATTAACACAGATGACATTCGGAGCGTTTTTTACTGATTTCTAATTTAGTAAAAGACACTCAGTAATTATATAATGTTTCCTTTTTTTTATCACCTGTTATATTTTGGTAATTATGACAAAAAGAAACATTGACTTTATCCCTATTGCACAAACTATGAAGTATTCGTACGAGTAGATGAAACACGACGAATCTTATTTTATTTATATCGATAACAGATTAAATAACAATATTTGCCTTATAATACTTAAGACATATTCGATTTCATCACTATGAAAGATAATATTTGAATTATTTACTGATAGAAACTTGCGTTATTTTTACGTGTACTACAAATCCTTTGACATTTTTGTCTATTACTGTTATTAAACTCTTATTGTAGTTCACACGTGACCATTGTAGCCACATCTATGCTTCGTTGATATTTATGATTAATGTTTTTGATGAAAAATACAAATATTTTATTTATCATTTACGTTTCTATTTTTCTGCTTGTCTCATTTGTTATGTAAAATTCAAAATGAGACTACATGATGCTGAATAATAATAATAAAGCCCAATCATTGGCAATATTTACATGAGGATTTCAAGGTGAGCAAAATAGAATGGTCGAATAATTCTTTACAGGACCGAAATATCAGAAAGTATTATGCATTTTTGTTAATAATCATCAAATTTACTGTGCCTTTTTCCCAATCACATTCGTTCTCTCGAGATATGTGAGCTGAATTGAAAAAAAAAACATAACATATTAAAGGTACGTTTAGTGAATGCTAGACCCGTTATTGGCGGTATCTCGATCATATCAAATGATAACGGAATGGGAGACACAGCACTTTTTTTGATTTTGCGAGCTGTAATTGTTTTTTTCTAACATAGATTCAACATCATCAAGTAAGTGACGAAATTCGAATGTTGGACGAGTACTGAAACTATCCTGGTATTTCTTATCAAATCTTCTTCATGAATTACAATATATACTTGTTTTTTTTGTTTTTTGTACATGACCTTGAATTTCAATTGAATAGCATAGAGAGAGAGAGAGAGAGAGAGAGAGTAGGTAGACGTTTATTTAAAAGCAAAACATAGCCTTACGATTTGTGTGGAAAAAAATTAGTCACTGTCTCATTTAATTGTATTTTTTGTGATTGATGTTGTTTATCACACGTCCACTATATATGTTTGTTATATAAGGATGGGCCATAAATCAGTAAATTATCACAAATCAGAAAGATCTAAATTATGACTCAATTTATAGAACATTTTTTTTTTTTCGAAACGCAAACCTTTCGAAAGCTTTGTACTGTCTCTCTGCATCGATTATAATAACGATACCTTCGTTAATGTACAATTATTGAATTCATGAAAGCGATATAATTTATTTTCAAGTAAGAAAAATCAATATGAAATATCCTATAGATGACATTTAGTTTTTCTCGAAGAAAATAACAATAGAAAAATTGAAATAAATCTTATCAATGAAATTGCGTTGATAAAAATTTAGAGTGACTTCATTGAAAGAGCAAAGATGAAGAGGCGCCATATTTTCAAGCATGCAATATTAGTTTGATAGCCAATGCTTGAATGATTCTATTAGAGATTTTATCTAGTAACAAGAATGTTTCTTAAAACCCTGAATATTTTTCTGCTGTTTTCTCCTGGATATTTTGAAGAGTATGCACTTCCACCATCTAAATATCAACTCTCTTAAGGAACCTAATTCTCTTCATTAACACTCACTTATGGCCTTGTCATATGAATTTCCCTTAAGTGCACAATTTAAATTGTTTTCATGAACTTGATAGTAGTACTTTCAAGAGAGGATTATTTATAAGATCGATATAGATAAAGAACGAAGTTGTGAAATGGATTTCTGTAAACAATAAAATGATGTTTCCTGTTTTACTAATTATTGACATTTCGAGTTCTATCTCACCTATTTTGTATGTGTTATCATGCTTTTCATAACTCAAATTACTCAATTAAATGTTTGTATAATGCATACAAATGAATGAAGGAAAAACTATTAAAAAAGAGAACATATTTCATGAAGTATACGTTTTTTGAATACGTACTCTCGAAAACATGAAAAGCATTTTTGTGAAAAGGAAAAATACAGGAGGACAATATATAACTATTACTCGCTCTTATTTTTTCTTATTTAGTAATCATTCAAGACTAGAAAATGGATAGAAAAATAAGAGGTAAGAATGACAACTGAAGAAAAAATATTGACAACACTCAATAGTTTGAAAATATAAAGGAAATAATCAAAAGTTTCGACTAATTATCTCATTCACTTTTATAATTGACCTTGGATACAATACGATAGACCGGAAGGATGATGACATATCACACATAAAGGATATTGAAAATAAATATTCAATACATAATCACTTACGAGTTATGAGAGAAAACTAAGTTATTCGAAGAAAGATTAAAGTAAAAAAATAGTTATTCTGATTTTTTTAATTTTAGATCTTTTTCTTGCTAAATATAACTGTCAAACATGACAGAAGATTTCATTCCATCGCCATCCATAGATAGTTATACGATGCCAATGGAAGTACAAATACCATTGCTAGACTCATCGTTACCCGTAAAAGATACTACGCATCATATTCCACGTAAATCTTTTAATGATCATCATAATAAAACAAATTCTACATCCATTGTCGAGAAGATACCTCATAGTTATAAACCAGTATCTGATGAAGATATTAATCAGTCTTTGTCTAATGAACCAAAGATACCAAAAATGTCTGATAAATTAATTGCTATATCTCAGTTGAAGACGTTAGCATTCTATCAAGCATTATTCAGTGAATTTATCGGAACAATGTTACTTGTATTAATAAATGCATCTGCTGGTTTAAATTTTGCGTCTACACCGGCATCTGCTTTACAAGGTGCTCTTACATCTGGCTTCACTGTTGCCACTATCATTGTTGGATTTGGTCATACGAGTGGAGCACATGTGAATCCAGCTGTAACAGTAACGTTTCTAGCTGCATGTGAGATTGATATTTTACGAGCACTCTGCTATATTGGTATGCAATTACTTGGTGCAAGTTTTGGTGCATTTTTATTAAAATCCATTACACCACATGGGCATGCTAGTTTAGGAATGACAATGATAGCTGAAGGTATAACAATACCACAAGCATGTCTAGTAGAATTTATAGTTACTTTTGTATTATGTTATACTGTACATGCTATTTGCGATAAACGACGCGATGATATCGGTGGTTCAAAAGCTTTAGCCGTTGGTTTATCTGTAGTCATCGGTTGTCTATTTGGTGGACCTTACACAGGTGCTTCAATGAATCCGGCTCGTGCATTTGGACCTGCTTGGGCAATGGATTCATGGGAAAATCATTGGGTTTACTGGTTTGGACCATTGACTGGTTCTATTGCAGCTGCAGTCGTTTATTCGTATATTTTAAAACATCATAATTATGCTGAGACAGAATGAATCATATTTATGTTCAAATATTCACAGATTCAAGTATTTTAAAAGATAAACAAAAAACGCTTGACAAAATTCATGATATGTTTTAATTTTCTCTAAATCTTCCATTCAAATTCACTGAATAACAGTAATACTTAGTTTTTATTATTTAATTATTCTTTTCTTGCTTCTAATTTTGATTATGTCACATCTGCCATTTTCTTTTTTCTGTTGTATCTGTCAACAGTTTATTCACTTTCAGAAATCTCACATAGCATTCATTGTACGCATCTTTCCATAGAACTTCTAGCAATATGTATGTGTTGATTTTGATATGTATTAAAATTATCTAGTAAAATATGCTGAGTAGTGCCTAAGTTTTGAGAAAATATTCAATAGATTTTTCTAGAATTTTGAAAATTATATACTGTCGATATTACAGTCGATCGATTGTAACAAAACGAAGATTATTTAATCAATTGGAGCTTTTTGAATCCAAAAGTTGTGATTATATGCAAAAAAACAATCAATACGAATGTACAAACAATTATGAATATTGTAGCTAATGAATAACAGAAAATGAATAATAGGATTAAGAAAAAATTACATAAAAAAAGATTAGAAAAATAAAAATATAATTGCAAAAACTTGAATTACATGAATGGGCGCCATCCGTGTTACGGCATACTCTAGTTTCTAGTCACGTTCTTGCACACTTTGATTGGCTTGCTTTTCCATATTCATTCAAAAATGAACAGTCAACAATCTCTTATTTCTATCGTACCAATATAGAATGAATTATCTTTGGCCGTTATTTGGTCGATTCTTTCTATTGATAGTAAGGCACGTAATATTGCATTTGAATAGAGCTAATTATACACCGGTGACGATGATCATGAGTGCTATTATCAATCTCGACACAGAATTTGTCATGTATGCAAAAACTAGCAATGAATGCATGATTAAAGTACGCTGGTTTAATATTTCTTTTGAAATTTTTGTTTTGTAGAAAAGCGCCTATTTCAAAAACAAAATGACACATTGAATTTCCTAACCTATGAAAGAACTTTTAGAACTAAGTCTATCTTGAACTTGAATGAGAAAAGTTCAGTAGACTTGATTGTCTGAATCTTGAAAACAGTTAGTTTCATTTTTTTTACAGATTTAATTATTTTGTTGAAATACTTTCCGAAATTACTTTCTTAGAAAATGAATGTTCAGTTGGATATTCTCAAAGAGTCGAATATTGATAAAAAGAAACATCTTATTTTAGAACGATAGAGTTGTTGATTGCGCCACAGTCGACCTATGCACCATGCTTTATAATCAACATATGCAGATTTGTTTCTTGCTTGAAACCTTTCAAAATTCTGATGTGTTTTTGTACGATACTCAATCTAATAATAGTGCCCATGACATACTATAGATGAGTTACCATTGAAAAGATAGCTATGAATGAGTTTCTCTATATTTAGTATTTTCATTCAAAGAAATTTTGTTTCAACAAACTAATATATTAAAAAGCACTAGTTCAAATGCGTTTGAAGTAAAATGTGTGCAAGAAAATTAGTCATCAATTTTCTTTTATTGATTATTATTAACTTTTCTTCAAGTATGAAGTCATCATAAATAAATTTAATCTTCACTGTTTTCCATTTTTTGATTGTGAATGAAAAAGAGAAGAAACAAAAGCATTTTTTGTTTGTATAGAAAGAAAATAAATAAAAAAAAACAAATTCGAAACAAAAAAGATCACATACACTGGCAAAAAAAAACTTTATCACACTTGTTCATGTTTCTTTTAGTGTATATTATTCGAAAGCACAGATTCTATATATGCATATATGTATGCCTATATGTGTGTGTAGTACGTGAAATAGCATTGATATTAAAAGCAAAAAACGAATATAATAAAAATTTTCTTTGTTATTTTTTTGTTACAAAAAGGGACAAGAAAAAGAAAATCAATGTTTCTATGAAATGTAAAATAGATTTTTATAGGGAGTGATAAAGAGAACAAAAAAAACGAAAGAAAAATAAATTATTTATACTATAGATTCCATCAAGGAGATAAACAGAACAAGAATATTTTCCATTCTCATTCACAGACAAACTATTCACTAGAACCGAAAGATATCACTCACGCGGGACGTTCAATAGAATAACTAATATTTAGCAAAGAAAACAAAGAGTTTTTGGTGTTTCTTTTTCTTTTGATATCTCAATGGACGGATGGAGTAAAAATGAAATCTGACAGTAATGGTGGGAAAGCAAAAAAAAGAAAACAAAAATAACATGTTGAGTGTGCACTATAGAAAATGAAAAAAATAAGTTTGAAGAAAGATCAACAAAGAAAAAAACACCACCACGCATCACACTATAAGAAAGAAAACAAAACAATTGAAGATGAACAGGAATGGGCTTCTATTAGTCGAAAATAGAATTAAGCTGAACACCACCAATATGTGGTAGTTTTTGATGTCGATTGAGCTCATTAGTTGAAGAATATGTTTTTGATGTTGTATTAGTTGCATTGTACATTTGTTGTTGATGATGATTATTTGTATAAACTCCATTGGCACCACCCATGCCACTATTTAGTTGACGAGCCACGGTATTTCGATCTCCACTTGACGTTTGCGGTTGCGTCTGTTGGGCAGCAAGTAAATGATGATGGCGAAGTACTGCTGATGGACGATTTGGTGGTGGAGCTTCAGATGGAGGTTTAGGTAAACGACGACGAAGCCAAGAGTGTCTAAATAATTAGGATATTCTATGATATTCTCGAATATAAAAGCAATTTTATATAAAAATAACTATTTCATATGAATCAATTCGACAATCAATTTCGATTTAAAACGAATGAATGCCTATTTTTGTTGTTAAGATACTGAAAGTCGATTGCTAATATATGATTCACTGAGAGCCATATTGATTGCAAATTTAAGCTACCAGCTCTTTCAAATTATTCCTTTTGTTTCGTACTGATCTACTTCACATCTTCAATGAACATTGAACCTAACGAGGGATGCAGTAAGCAAACTGAACCTGCAATCGTATATATATATTGCCGTTCTTCTAATATTGTACGGATGAAGATTTAATATCATAGTTAAGTTTAGTTCGAAAAAACATCAAGTTTTTATCGTTTTATTATGAATGTTTCTTCTCAAGAGTAAATAATGTCTATTTTCTTAATTAAAATGGTCTTTTACATGGCATAAAAATCTGATGATGAAACGTTTAGCGTCACAGAATCTAACCTATTGAAATTAATATTAGAACATAGATTTAATATCTGTATGTTTGATCATTACTAAACTCCTCGTTATATATGTCATGAACTTTATTGATAATGAAGTGGGCATGTTGAACTACATTTTTCACTAGAGAAAAAAAAAGACTACTGTTACTTTATAAAATGATAAAAGAAACAAAGAAAGTCACATACACAATTTGAAAGTCCAGTACCCGTTAGTCGATGAACAAAGAATGAATTTTTCCAATCAGGACTTTCTATCATTTATATGCGCATAAAGTATCAGAAATAAAAGAAAGGGTAGAAAAGAACTACTATTGTCAAAGAATATATTTACAAATGAACAGGAGATGATTTTAAATTTATTACATTTGTTGTTAAGCAACAAAAGTTATTCGAATTTTGATTCATAAAGAAAATATTTCCTACCGTAAAGCTTGTGCTGGAGTTAATCTTATTTGTGGATCCCATTCAAGGCAACGTTTAAGAAAATCAATAAACATTGGATCATCACAATTTTTCAATGCTTGTGACCAATCTTTACTAGCCGGCGGTCCACGATGTTTTCCACGTTTCGAACGACCTACATAAAACAAAGAACAACGGAAAATTATTTTCTTAACTGAATCTACGCAAATCTATTTACCCCCTTGTAGAACAGTCGTTCCGTCGGGTAATGTTGCTAATGTACAATATCGCGGATGTCCTTTGGAACTAACAAAATTTCTTGCTCGTTTCGATGCATCAAGTACTTTTTGACTAGGCATTCCATTAAGCTCAATGATACAACTCAATTGATCAGCTTCATCTTCACCAGGAAATAGAGGCATGCCAGTAAGTAATTCACTTAATATACATCCAAGACTCCACATATCAATTGGTAAACCTATATTAAATTGACTTGATTAAATTTATAGTTATATAAAAATATCTATATATCAAACCATATTTAGCTCCAAGAATAATTTCTGGTGCTCGATAAAATCTCGATTGAATATATGTATAAACACGTTGATGTTCAAAACAACTGGAACCAAAATCAATTACTATTAAAAAATAAAATAAAAATGAACATAGACGCATGAGTAATAATATTTACCTTTAATACCACTTCTACCTTGTTGTTTTAATAATATATTTTCAGGTTTAAGATCTTAAATTATAGTAGTTTCGATAATTTTGATTGAGAAATAAAATAAAAATATTCTCTTACCACAATGAATTATTTTATTTCGATATAATGCATCAAGACATTGCAATATACTATGTGCAAATTTTCTAACAAGTTGCAAACTAAATCCTTGAAAACGATTTTTCTTAATTAATCTATTTAAAAAAAGAATGAGAAAAATAATAATAATTAAAATTAAAATTAAAACAAAAAATTTCTTTTACTCATAAAGATTCATTGACAGTAATTCAAATGTGATGCAAATATGATTACGAAATTGAAACCATTCAAAAATATGAATTACATTAAATGTATTATCACGATCTTGTTTACGTAAATGTTCAAGTATACGAATTTCTTCTTGAGCTTGCCGATGAAAACGTTTCTCATTACGAACAATTTTTAATGCAACTTGTTGACCAGTTTTATGATCATAACATTTTACAACGAGACCAAATGAACCTTTGCCGAGAATTTTTAAAACTTCATAACCTAGAATAAATAAATTATTTATTTCTAGATTATTTCAATAGTTAGCTTTCTTTACGATAGGCTATATGATCATGTTGAACAGCAATATATGATGCATTTTCA